GCGCTTCAGACTGCTAGAAAACGTGAAAGGCGCTGTAACAAATGCAAGGATTATTATTATTATTATATTATAGCATATTATTACTACTATTATTATTTATTTTTATTTAGAGATGAGATTTTTGCCTTTAAGTCAAGGAGGCTGGAATATAAATGGAAGTAAATGATGCCTCTTCTTGATAGAACCGTCTGACCCGATCTGGAGATCAGTTCAGTTTAAGGTATCGCACCACAGGAAGGACAGATTGGGAGTGTAATGGGTACATGGCGCATCCAACAAAACTGTACCTGGGCTAAAATAGGTAAGTTATGAAGACAGATGACATTAACGTGTTCTCTATTGTCCTGAGTTGAGAAGGTTACAGTTTGATCTCATTGAGGATTTTTAAATTGGTACTGTGATTCAATAGGGTAGATCCAGATACACGAAAACCTCTGGTTGGGAAATCCAGAACAAGGGGACATATTGTTAAAATTAGACACATGCCATTCAAAAGTGAATCTAGGAGTATACTTTCACCCAAACTTTAGTGGAAATCTCTCCTTCAAGAGGCTTTGGATGTTGAATCCATTCGCATCGTGAAGACTGAGGTGGATAGATATCCCAGTATACCGTGCCGGTATACTGACTGGTACGGTTCTCCGAGCACATGTCACACTAATTCTAGCCAAGGATTCCTGGCTCTCCGTCAACCATAGGGTCGATTTCACCAACCTCAAACTCGTGTACAGAACGCTCTCTTGCCAGGCACATTGCTGCATTTGTTACCTGTTTATTACCTAAACCCCACCACCATGTGTCCCCTCGATATGCTCCTGCCTTCTGCATGGATCTCGTGCTCCCCATTCTACCACTTGTGGTCGATTTTTTGAGTCATTTCGCCCCGAAATCCTAAACACACTTCCCCTTTCCCGTACCTTTGCCCCATCCTTCCCGTCTTCTGGTCTCTTCTGAAGAACTTCCGAGTCGACCTTGCCCCTGTCATTCCCCGTTCACACCGCCTCATAGCGGTGCTCCACTACTCTCCTACGCTCTGAAGTGCCACCCTATGTGAGAGGCGATGTATAATTGCAAGGTGTATTTGTTGTGTGCAAAACATCGGATTGACAGCACTAACTCTCTGATTGCGAGCTTCCACAGCTCTGCCCTGCACAACTATTCAAACATCAAGATCTCGGGTAAGTCATGTGTTTCAAGAACAGAATAGTATCCGAAATGCTGAATGGAAAAAGATCAAGATCCATCTAGTTTGCCTTCCACCTGCCATGCGGTCGCATGCACATATGTCCCGAAATCCTGTGTGCAACATCAGATAGTGTTATTTCTTCAAATAAAACTATTTAATCTGTGTTTCAATGAATCAACATTTCCTGCTTCAACCGTCTCCCTCGGGAGCCTGTTCCACAAGTTCGCTAATCGCTGACTGATATAGTGTTTGCGTAGATTGGTGCAGAGTTGAGCCCTCGAACCGCAAGCGGTGACCGCTGGATTCCGCAGCGCACAAAGGATCAAAGTTTTGCCACTAACCTACTTCTGTCACATCCAGATAATAATAATAAAAATAATTATACTTGCATTTGATGTATCGCTTTTCACGTCTTCTCGACACCTCAAAGCGCTGCACAGAATAGACTGTAAAGTGATTTGACTGTATATTTGTGGGCGAATAGCGGAAGCCAATTGCGAACAGAAGCGTCCCACAAACAGTCGTGATTTGAAGATGACCGATTTATTATTGTTTTATTTTGGAGGGATTATTATGTGGCGTGTGGAGTAACCAAACTTGCCCAAGGTTTCGCCCAGCCTGGAATTGAACCCAGGTGTCTCGCTTGCAAGGCGAGTTCTCTGAACACTGAGCTTCAGGGCTCCACAAGCAAGAATGCACTCTCTACCCTCCAACATTGCCAGGCAGCTTGAAATACCTCGCATTACACACACCATGGGGCTTTCAGCCATTCTGGACAAACTCTGTATCTCCATTTCGCAGATGTTTTGTCTGACACCCTGGTTTAACTTATTCAAGTCTGTCCCAAGACCTATATCTTTGCCCTCACCAGGGATCATCTTTCCCCAAATCACCCTATTCAGCTCTGATCCCCAAGTTGATGAATACGGTGAGAATTTGCCTTCACCCCTCAAATTGATATGCGTTATACTAATATAAATTTGTAATCAACTTAAAACAATTTTCTTTCACGAATTTGCAAAGTTATTGTTCCGTACTGTGAAAAATTAAATTGAGTTGATTGCTGTCAGTTTTTTTTAAGACGTCCTAACTCGTTCGTCTTGCTGCCTGAGCACCAATGTGTCTCGCTGTCGATCAAATGAAGAACTTTTGGGCTCATACCTGTCCCGTTGTGTGACAGTTCACAACAAGATTCAATCTTCGATTGTGACTGAGAATTGGGGATGAATATGAAGCTCTGACCTCATCGAGTATCCGCCTGAGAGAGAATTACTGGTCCTTTGAGAACACCTGGATATTGAGCGCGGACAGGTGGCATTCCGCAACACTGATAACAAGTCTAATCCTTGTACATTCAAGCACATTTGCACAGAGAAATTTATACTGAGTGCAGTCCCTGTTCAAATGATAGCGGGATAAACTCTGATCTGTGGCGAATCTTCCCGCTGACCGTTTAAGGAGCAGGAACCATAAGATATTAACGGCGTTTGACTTTATTGCACATCTGTCTGGGATACGATCATAAGAACATAAGAAAATAGCAATCTCCTGAGCCAAAGATCACGGAAATCCATCTCGTTTTCCTTCCAAACTTCTTGCAGTCGCTTGGCATGACTAGTATCATACTTTCCAATATACCGTTTCCTGTGTGTTTCTCTCTGTCTGCGCGTATGTAACTTGGACAACCCGCGGCACGGAGGGCGCTATACGATTTGAAGTTCTTCTTGTTGTTGGTTGCGACTGTGTTCCTGTCTGTGCGCGTTTGAGTGTTCTGTGAGTGTGTATGTGTGTGTCTCTGTTTGCATATATGCCTATGTGTTTCGTTCCCTCTTTACATATCTGCGTGTGTTTGTGAGTGTTTATCTGTCTGTGTTTGTGATTCTGTGTTTCTGTGCTGTTGTGTGTGTGTGTCGATGTGTGTGTGTGTTTTGGGTAAGTCTGTATATGTTTATTTGTTTGACAATATTCTGTACAATGACATGCATCAAAAATATAAGTGAGTTTCTCCTGGAGTCCTGGCTGACAACACCATCAATACAAATTGGACGCTCACTTCACTGCAATTTGACAGTCACAATTACTTGCACAATACACTGCCTCGATACTTTACAAAAGTGGTGTCCAAATGACGGCCGCATGTGTCCCGTTGGTGAACTTATTTGACTAGATACCATTTACAACCTTCTAACTTTGCGCTCCCTCCCTGTTGAACTTCCTCGTGTGGCAGCAGCAGGAGCCGACTGTTGGGAGGCCTCAGTGTGGAGAATGTAACAATACCGGCCATTGGTGCAGTGGGTCAGGAAGTCAAGCATTTCTCTAATCAATCACATACTTAGTGACAGACAACTCCTCCAGTTGCAGATAGTGATTGCCAAATTTTTGAGTAACAAGAGAATACAATATGACACAATGGCTTTGTTCAAATTAGGTGAATTATTTATTAGCTGATAAGGTAACTCATCAAATAAAACGAAAGGCGGAACGGAAACTCTATACAATTCAGCTGCTAGTACAAATGTTTTACAGGATAACTTTTCAGTGCTTATTTGCCACATAATTTGTCACAACTCTCGAAACATCTGTAAATGACTGATAAATGCAGTCCTCAAGAGAAGGCTCGATTTTCTTCCCTTTAAAATTAACCAAATACCAATACAGGATTGAATTCCTTTATTTTAGAAGCCACCACGATCCTCTCCTCATCCAATAGCCCCACATAAACGTACAAGTTGTTGTTACTTACCAACTGAGCCACGTCACCCTCCACTCCCTTTTGCATTTCTAACCTTCTTAACATATGAAGTTAGCTGTTACCTCAACTTGCCGAACCAACAATTATTTGAATAATGTTTCATTTATCTTTAATTCACGATATTCCTCGTGATGAGTTTATGTTTAAAACAATTTTCTGGTTAAACAGCAACACGTAATTGATCCTTGTTGACTTTTCCTGAGCGTAGTTTGAAAGGAAGGTGGAATAAATTAATGATATTAATAATAATAATAAAAATATGAATGTATCTGGAGGCACTTTCACGGAGCAACAAGGGGGCTTACAGACCAAGGAGCCCCATTCATCCGTTAATTGGAACCTACTTCACTATATATTCTGTGAAACACTTTCGGAAGCTACCAATTGTCCCACTAGACGATGGCTCGTTGTTAATATTTCACAAATTACATCGAGTGCCACGCATTTTCCTTTATTTAAATAGTTTAAATATGTGTTTAAACGGAAAGATCACAAGATATTTGACATCCTCTCTGAACTTAGATTGTGTTGAAGCATAAATTACGGTGTTTGTGCAGCAACTCAAAACCTTAAGCATGTCAGTCACTTCTTGGATAACAAACACTGGGTCTCTGTAGCTTTGGTAGAAGTAATTGACTAAGGTTCGCAAAAATATGAAATTTAAAACATACATTAGCCACAACAGGATGAAGCTGCCTGATATTGCGAAGAGTAAGATGATTGATTTTCTTCGATTCTCAATCTCTGTATCAATGCCATTTTCATATTTCAGTTGCAGGAGGTTTCTGCGGATTCTATTCGAAGCTAAAATGTGTCTGACTGTCAACACATTCATCAGCAGAATCAGAAAGAATGGAACAAACGGAGTTATTATTGTGTCAAACCAGTGAAATACAATCCATGTGGGAGATGTGTAATAAACCACTTTGAACTTGCAAAACCAAGGAACTTTGTTCAGTATCTCTCTGGGCTCATACATAAGGTACCAGGGAATGCTGATGAAACAGCTCAGAGAAGAAATTACTCCTACAACCACGGCTGCTGTTCTCTCGGTGCAATAACTTGTTTTCAGTTTCACCCAACAGATGGCGACCAGGCGATCAAAGGTGAAAGCCACTGTGAACCAGACTGACATGTGTGTCACCGCCGACATCAGCACCATTCTGAGTGAACACACGGGAGTGATGTCCAGAAATGTGTGATTGAAATAAAGAGAATGTATGTGGTTCAAAACCACTTCGTTGATGGCGAACAGGAGATCGGCCACTGCCATGGCCACCATGTAGCGGGTGATACATTTTGAGAGCCCACACTTTCCCCGGGACAGGACCACAATGGCCAACAGATTCGCTGTGAGAAAATGGAACAGCAAACAAACATATTTACCTGTGCGCTGCGTAAGTTGATGGTATTTTGCTCAAAGTTCATTCACGCAGCAGCATACCATCAATACTCATGGATTGATGGGCCCGTTTAAAAAAAAAATTTCAAAGCATTAATAAGGAATATTGAAATGATCAAACACAGGTATCTCGCTTAACAGGCGATTTCGGTAACCAATGAGCTACAGATATGATTTAACCAATGAACTACAGACGAAAGAAAACCGAGTAACATGTAAGAAGTTCAAACAAATTCCCTGTCTGTCGCCTGTTCTGTTGGACATGAAAGATCTCCTGTGACACTACCAGAAAATAGAATGAATTCTCTCCAAATTTCCTGGCCATGTGTACACCAAATAAAGTTTGTATCCTCAAATATTTTTTGCTCTTCTCTGGTTACAATCATGTTACATTCTGACAGGACATTGTCAAGTATATCCATTGAATATAAATTTGAAGATGTGGACCATATTTAGTCTCAAAATGTGTTCCTGCAGATGACAACATAAATACGTAAATTCACCTCTACTAATTGAAGATGGCGTTAAAAATTCCACTGTATTAATGTGAAAATAATTCGCATCACGCACAGCAAAATTCGCAATAACGTCAAAATAAATGAAGGGCTCATTCGCGCTATTTATAGTCAGACACCGAAAATTTCGAGATTCTCCAATATTTTTCTCACTGGTCACCACAACCCCCTCCATTCACAACATGCAATTCATTCAAAACAATTCCAAACATGGCCACTCTAACACAAACTCCGCAATTCCATCACTCCAGTCCTCGACAGGATTCCCTGCCTCCTTTCTAGAAAACACATTGAGATAAAGATACTCAAAACATTTGCAAACCATTCGCTGCCCTGGCATACCTCTGCCTCTCAACCTGCTGACGGATCTGGCTCGCTTATCTGCTCAATCCTTCCCCACCGCCAGACATTCTTACAGCCAATGTGTCCTGAAACACTGGAGGCTCAATATATCCACCTCACACACTTTTGAGTGACCGTCGGATCAGACCTGAAGATACTCTTCTTGGGCTTTTCCTATTGTCATAATTTTTACGCGTGTGCTAGCAAGCAGACCCTCAAAGAAGAAGGGAAACACTACCAGTCTCACAGCGAGAGCAGAGCTGGTGGAACCAACGACAATATCTTATCTTTGTACGAGTCACAGCTGGAGGACGAGAAGTAGATATATGTGCCATGTCGAAACTTGTGGTACATCGGGGTACAAGTAAAATGTGTGTTTAACTGGTTACCTGCAATACCAATAGCTGCAAGAATAGGATAATAAACAATCAGTATCCGAAAAAGTGTTGGCAGATATTGCCAAGGAAAGAAGGCTATAGCCCTCAACATTGTGTATCACCAGCGGATCGGCTGTCAGTGCTGGACACTCAAAGCTGCCAGTCTTTATATCCCTGAACTGTCTCCACTGGGAATAGGCTACTTGCACAAATGATTGTGAAACACCAATATTTCTCTTCTGGCACGAACTGCTGACTGGATTCCTTGGGGGAGGTAAGCAGGATCTCATGGGGGCTGAGCCAGCTCTTAGGTGACGTTTTCAACAACAGAAAGCTGGAATGAAATCTAATACGTGTAGTGGTCAGGATGTGTCTGTGTCTGAGTCAGGCCAGTTACATGTTGTATTAAATGACCGTGATTGTGGTTTGTGATCAGAGCGCTTAAATGGCGGCTGAGGTCACTGTTATAAGACGGGTTTCATTACCAGGCACGTTGGTGGGGTAAAAAGAAAGGGTTGGTCATGCCCTGGCCCAGCATCCAACAAAAAGTATTGTTCTTACCCAGTGAGAGTGAAACCAATATATTTCCATACTGTGAGAGTGGATGCACCTTATGCGCAATCTCTCTCTGTGCTAAATCAAATAATGATATTTCATAGGATAAATCTATGTGATCCGTCTTTCAAAAAAACAACACTACCTGCTTGAAGCTTCTCACTCCCTTGGGTGCATTTTCCACAGATTAACTATTCGCTAACTGAAACAGTGTTTGTGTAAATTTATTCTGAATTTCGCCACTTCATCTTAGTGAAGACAGAAATCATGTCTCCGAGAAACCATCTTTTTTGCGGTGTGTACATGGCCAATATACTTAGGCACTCCTCATAGTCCAGGCCCTTCATTCAATCAATCATTTTGGTTGCTAACCTCTATATCTAATAGCCGGGGTCATCAGCACACTTTCCCCTGTGGGTAGACATGCTGTCCATCCTTTGCCTCCTATACTGTGCCCAGCAATGTCAATGCCAAAACGTCTTGGGTTTGGCAAGAGGGACAGTGGATGGATTCTTTGCCAGCTGTTTCCGTCGTTGACCTGCTTTGAAGTTTTTACTATGTCATCTTCAGCCGGGCCCAATCACTCACTCTATTTTGGCTGGCCTGGACTTCAAGAGATTTTCTCTGTCTTCAGACAGATGGCCACCGAACCGCAGGTAACGACAATGAGCCATTGACTACACAGGCCCACATCCCTGGGATCATTCTGGTACATCTCCTCAGCATCCATGCCAACAGCTAAGTATCTTTCATTGTATGAGAACGTGCACATATGAAAACAATGCTGCAGGTGCAATCTATCGAATGATATGCACATACGTGCCATTGCAGGTTGACTTTCTTTACCTTTTGGTTCTACCTATAAAATCGAGTACACTGTCAACTTTTATATCGACATTTCGACACCCATTGATGGGAAGTATATACAAGTTCACATTCTCAATTGCTTGGGTACTACCAGCCTCCAAATCCAATTCCTACTCTGCACCAAGCAAAGCACTGTCGCTTGTCGTCCAACATTGAATATTTGATATTTCGAGCTCAAAATCAGCAGTGGTCCCAATAAACAACATTGGGGGACAGCACTGCAGACTTCCGTCTTTTCAGGAAATCAAACGTTCACCACCACTTTCTGCTTTCAATATCCCAGACAATTCTGTTTCCATGCTGACACCTTCCCTTTAAAACTGTGGCCTTCTATTTTGCTTACCAGTGTCTTATGTGATACTTTCTAATACGTCTTTTGTAAATGAATAACAACACCAATTGCAGAAACTTCATCCACCCTTTCCGTTATTTTATCGAATTTTTTGGACCGTGTTGGCTGTTCTTTATTAAACCAAATTTTTCCAAGTGACAATGTATTTTGTCCCTGTAAGATTCTAGTCTCTTCAAGTTGCCACACTACGAAGTGATTTTGACTGGTCTGCAGTTACCGAATTTATCCTTCTGCCACTTTTTGTATAGGGAACAAACATTTGAATAACTTCCTTCCTCTGGTAGCACACTGGTGTACAAAAAGAATTGAGAGGTTTTCCCCAGAGACTCCGTTATTTCCAGCCTTACTTCCTTTCAGTCAACTTGGATTCATCCCGTCTCCTCCTAGTGACTTATCTACTCTGAGTGCCGATTGATTTTCAGTAACTTGATTGTTTCTTGACCTATCCAATTTTTTTCCCTCTTATCTAATCCTGCGGCATTGGCTGCATCCTCATCTTCTGTGACCACTGGAGAAACATCCGTCTACTCCTTTGAAGGTTGTGTCCCCAATGACAATTTCACTCAAACTCTTCTCTGTGTCCAACTGTGCATCCATTTGTTTCGGCTCCTCTCCCCTGTGTTGTCATCACCCTGACCGATTTTCAGTCCGTTGGACAGGTTTCTGAAAGCCGTACTTCCATGGAAATGCTGGACTGCACGTCCCCTCTTCCTACTGCAATCACAAACTCTCTTTCTGAGCCCTTTGTGGCTGTTCGATGAAAACCACCTGAAATGTTAGGTCCATGAACACATCAAGATTAACAACTTACACTTATGCGTCGACCTCAACATATGTTGGCGTCTCAATGCCTGATTTGTAGACGTGGAATTCTGTGCAGTGGTGTCAGTAAGCACGGTTGGAATTCCAGTTTTTCAGGCATGGCATGAAATGAGGGAGGATGTTCCAGATCTATGGGCGTAGTGACTGAAAATATGAACTCTGATGCTGGGACGGAAGGTGTTTGGGTCCTTCAGGAATCTTGTACCAGTCGAGCCGAGGAGCCAAGTTGTGGATTGTGGAGTGAGGAGATCGGAGATGTAGGGAGATGCCAGGGAGTGAATGGATTTGAGCACGTTTATGAGCATCCTACAGTCGATCCTTTCGTTTATGGGGAGGCATTGGAGCAAGGCCCGAGCTGATGAGCTGTGGTTTGGGATATTGTCTTTCGGAACTTATCAATCGACAACAGGAAGCAGACATCATGTTTGTCATCCTCTCTGTCACATGTTTCTTCAAAACTTGACTTGCAAGGAGGATTGAGAAATGATGCATTTGGAACAATTCTATTTCGCATTTGATAATGCTTATGTTTATTTAGCGCTGGCCCATAGTTGAGATTAAGTGCATCCAATAATCTTTCAACATAACAAATTGCGTGTTCGTTGGCAGTTTTTCTACATTTTGAAAAAAATTCATTAGATCTCCTCTGTCATGTTCCACAGCTATCAAAACGGCTCTGCACAAACCTTACATTGAAAGTAGTAAGAGATGCATAAAGGCAGTATGAGGAAAAAAGCTACACGGGAAAACAAGAGCAAAAGGAACTTTTCATATTAAACAAAGGAGAGTCAGTCATGGAAACGTGAGCCGGATAGAGACAGATAAGCGTTCGATTATATTGGAAAATAATGAAATGACAGTCCTCTTAAATGAATACTTTACTTCGGTTTTCATAGAAGGTTAAGTGGCCAAATTACCAGCGGAAAAATGAAATAATAATAGCAATGTTTGCTTTTGATATGGCCAGCATCACCTCTTCCAGATGTCTCAAAGCGCTTCAGAGAATAATAATAATAATAATCCTTGCATTTGATATAGCGCTTTTCACGTCGGGAGGACGTCCCAAAGCGCTTCACAGAACACACTGTAAAATCAATTGACTATATATTTGTGGGGGAAACACAGCAGCCAATTGCACATAGCAGCCTAACACAAACAGTCTTGGATTGAAATTGACCAATTTATTATTGTTTTGGTTGGAGGGATTATTATTAGACGTTTTGAG